TCTCTCTCTCTCCCCCTCTAAGTGCAAATATAATAATCAATTTTTCTACAAACATAGGCCTGAGATATCTGCACGACATGAGTGTCGCCCACCGGGACATCAAAATGGACAACGTGTTGGTGTTCAGCGGTGCGATCGCGGGCCAGTACACTGTCAAATGGACAGACTTTGGCACAGCTGTGTCGCGGGATGTGTACCGCCGGTGGGGTGTAGTCATACCGGCCAATGACATGCATTACATGATGGCTCGCGATATCACTGTATTTGGCTATCTGTCCGAGGATTTGGTGAATGTACACGAAGATGACAAGAGTCTAGAGCCGCCAGTTCTGGCACAAGTCGTGGCATTCATTGTTGATTTGCGGGAAGGAAAGGAGCCGTTGGCCGACACACTCCAGAGGTATAATTTTTTTGGCCTTTAAAGGGGGAGGTTTTGCAGGGAGTTTGAAAATTATACCTTGTTTTCAGAATTGAGATATTTTGTTGCCCAATAAATAGTATTTTCAATTAGATTACTATTATAGAATGTCTTGATTACATTGTGATTATTTTTAACCAAGATTCATATATGAAGAATGTGGTTTATAGGATCGTTCGGCCCCCCTCCCCATACATTCTTCATATTTGAATTGTGGTTAAAAATTAATTATAAATTATAATTATCGAGAAATATTGTATTTAAAAATATAATAAATGTGCCTATTTTTACAAACATAATTTTTATTGTCTCAGTCAACTAAAAACTTATTTTGCTATCATCTTTACAAAGCAAGACATTATATTATAACGATTATCGACACAACAACATCTCAAGTATCGCATACTTTAATATATTTATCAATATATCAAGAGCTGAAACAATATCGATAAAGCATATACTGTTAGTATAATAAATTTATAAATAATATAGATTATACCTTACGCTATAGATTAACACACTTGATGATAATTATTGTCAATTATAACTTATAAGTTATAATGATTTATAAGATTCGACAATAGTTTATATCTATACTTTCCATATCATGTTAAAATGAGACGTGATTTATTTATTTATTATAGTAAATTGTAATAAATTACTCACTATAACGTTATAAAGAGTATAAATTACGTGATAGGATTTACACCTATGAACGATTAAGGTTTACAACATAAAATTCTTACCAATTGTACAGGGTGCTTGTTACATCATTTAATTATAGTGTGACCAAAATCCATATTGAAAATGTAAAAATGATTATTTTATAGTTATACAGTTATAGTTATATGTTATATTATTAATATCTAACACATATCATGTCATTTTAGTGTAATGTACAAGTATCATGAAACATTCATGATTTCTATATAACAATATTCATGTGCAAAGTTTTTATAAAATAAACACAATTATTTTATTCAATTATTCTGAGCAAATCTTTTAATTGATGCTGTTAAATTAATTTATTATCAAATTAATTATCTATATTAATTTGGCTTGTTTGAAATTATTTTAAAAATTGCAACATGGTTTTAAATAATAATGGTACAACACCAAGTTCAATTACCACAACGGCTGGACATTGCATGGGTGGTATGGATATGGGTGGAATGTCCATGTCCTTTCACACGGGCTTTGAAAAAACTATCTTGTTTGATTCCTGGCGGGCCGACAACGCAGCAGGTATGTTCATTGCTTATTATAATAATAATTTTAATTTATTTTATTTATATTTTGTATAAAACTGACCACGGTGAAATATTTATATACAGCAATGGTTGGCTACTGTGCGCTATTCTTTGTGCTAACCATAATATACGAAATATTCAAATACTATAGACAACAACTATTACACACATCCGAGTCAGTAATAAACAGGGGGCCAACTGTAGCCACCACTGGCACAACTCAATACACGTCTGATAGGGTGACCACAAGTGCTGACCAAAATGTTCAGCGCCAGACCACTAGACTCCTATCTACGGGACATCTTTACCAAACAGTGTTACACATGATTCAAACGTTTGGGTCGTATGTACTTATGTTGGCGTTCATGACATACAACGTGTGGCTCTGTTTGGCCATAATATTGGGTTCAGGTGTCGGCTATTTTCTGGTCGGCGCCCGAAAGCCCAACACCTACTCCGCCTATGAGGACCATTG